CCAGAGGGGGCCGGACGGGGGGGCGGGGGGGGGGAGGGGCAGGGACCACCGGGGAAGGAGGGACCAGGAACAGGGGGGGGAGTAACCGGGGGACCACGGTGAGGGAAGCGGCGGTAGAAGGAGACGGACTCGTCAAAGGTGACGTCGCGAGAGTGAAAGAAGCGGTGGGACGGCGGGTGGTAGAAGTGCCAGTCGGAAGCGTCAAGGGGGAAACCGAGGAAGACGCAGGGGAGGGTGCGGGCAGTGAGCTTGTCCGTGCCAGAGGCACGAACGTGAGCAAGGCAGCCCCAGACGTGGAACGCAGACGCGTCACCAGGGGACCCGGTCCACAGAAGGGTCGGCGAAACCGGCGGCCGCTGGGGGTGCGGCCACAGGTTAAGCTGGTGAGCGGCGTAGCGCACGGCGAACGGCCACAGAAAATGGGGTGCACCGGCGTGGATCATGGAGGTGCGAGCCACCTCCATGACCAAACCGATGCGTCGCTCAGCGACCCCATTCTGCTGCGGGGAGTCCGGCAGGGTAAACGTCTGGGTGATGCCCTCTGCACGACAGAAGCGACCAAGGACACCTGAGGCAAACTCGCCACCCCGGTCGGAGTGGAGGCGCAAGGCAGGGAGACCGCGGTGGACACGAGCAGAGACAAGCCAGGGGATGAGAGCGTCAGGCACGTCGGCCTTCCGCTCCAGGGGAAAGACTGTGGTGTAGCGCGTGAAGTCGTCGACAAGCACTAGGAAGAAGCGCTCGCGACGCGGCCCATGGACCGGGGCTGGGCCCCAGACGTCCATGTGCAGAGTCTGCAGTGGTGCGGTGGTAGGGGGAAAAGAGGAGGAGTGAGGGGCGCGGCGGAGCCGGCCCTCGACACAAGGCGTGCACGGGGGGGCGGGGGAGGAGGGAAACTCGGGGAACGAACCGGGGAGACCAAGGACGAGACCGTGCTGGGACATGTGACGCAGACGCGGGAGGGCAGGGTGACCAAGGCGGTGGTGCCAAAGGAGAGTCGGGTGAGTGAGGGACCGACAGGAGCACGCAGCAGCAACCTGGGTGGACGCAGCTACCTGGGGGGAAGACCCAGCCGGGGAAGTCGCGGTGTCAAGTGTGAACAGGCCGGACACCGGGTCCCGGGGGAAGGTGGTAAGGGGGGCACCAGTGGCGGTCTCGGTACAGACAGCATACCGCTCGTGACCAGGGAACGTAGTGGTGACGCCAAGGTCCTGGAGGCAGCCGACACCAACTAGGTTCCTGGAGAACGAGGGGATATGCAGACCTGTGAGCGAACCTGAAGGAACCGCCGGACAGGGAAGGGAGGTGGAACTGCGGGCAACGACGGGACCACCGGAGGGGTCAGCAAGAGTAACTGCGGCGGGAACAGGCAGCGGCGTCAGCGTCGTGGAGTCGCGGAAGAAACACCGGGAGGCGCCAGAGTCCAAGGTGAAGGAAAGCGCAGCAGTCGCGCAGGGCGGCAGTGAAGCGGTGGAAGCACCGAGGCTAAGCAAAGCAGAAGATCCTACGCCTGACGCAGCAGGGGAGTCTACGCTAGGCACAGCTACACTAGGCAACACGGGGTAATAAGAGGGAAGCACACTAGAGTCATCAGCATACATCACATGCAAGGCTGCTACAATGGCATCCATGTCCAAGTCAAAAATCCGAATGCTACGCCTAAGCAAGCTGTGCCAGTCCGGGAGGTCGGGTGCCGGGCCAAAGCGCTGACGGAACAGGTCGTCCAGACAACGAAAACAGCGAGGAGTGGAATGACCGATCTTACCGCAAACGAAGCCGCGGCGAGGACCGGTCTGGATCTGGTACTGACAGGGCCCGCCTCCAGAACCACCACCCGGTGCACCACCACGCGCACGACCACCACCAGCTCCAGGCCACCCAGGCGGGAGAGCACTCGCCAGCCTCGTCTGCGGCGGCTGCTGCGGCTGCTGCGAAGGCTGCGGCTGCGGCGACTGCTGCTGCTGCAACTGTGGAGGCAGCGGGGCAGCTGGACCGGGCAGGGTCCCCACGTCCGCACCGGCACCGGACGACCCGACTCCACCACTACCCCCACCCGCACCCCCGCCGCCGCCGCCGCTCCCAACCTTGGGGCGGCGGCCCTTCCCCGAGCGAGACTGCACTGCAGCAGCAGTCTCAGCCACAGCGACAGAGCCGTCGGAGAAGGTACACTGAGCGGGGGCACAACCCTGAAAGATAGGGACCGGTACTGTACCGCTCGCCTGGGCTATGGAGCGGTGACGAGTCTCTATGACAGTCAGGGTGTCAACAAAGTCGGTGAGGGTGAGAGCAGCGAGGTGGATGCTAAGGAACTGGTCGCGGGCGGCGGCAAGGCGGTCAGGGAGGCGGGTGGCAAGGAGGTAGAGGGTAGAGGTCATGGGAGGCTGGTGGACTCTAAGCTGTGCATCAGTGCAGGCAGCGCGCCAGGTCTCATCTATCGAGCGCAGGTGGGCAGCGAGGTCAGAGACAGTGGGGAAAGACGCAAGGTCAGGAAAGAGCAGGGGGAGGATCAGGCGACCCACTGAGGCAGCAGGAGGGGTAGAATAGCGCTTGATGACAGCATCGAGGTAGGCCTGGGCGGTAGTAAGGGTTCTAAAGCGAGGGCGCTCAGGGGGGGGGAGGGCATTGCTAATGGCGAGCTGAGCAAGGGCATCGCGGGAAAGCCAGACAGAGCGGGCAAGGGCAGCGGCTGCAGTGGACTCGCGCTCAGCGGGCGTGGGATCAGCGGGCAGCACAGCAGGGGGGTCAGGGCAGGGGAGCATACCGTCTAGGTGGTCAGAAAGCGGGTGGCCGTCCTGCCGCTGACCAGTGAGGTGGCGGCGGAGGTCAGCCAACCACGCCTCGAACTCCAGAGGCTGACCCTCAGCATCAAAACGAAGCTCAGCGGCCATCAGGGGCAGTGTAGGATAGGGGAGTGCGGTGTAGTGCTGTGCAGTGCGGTGCAGTGCGATGCAGTGCGGTGCAGTGCGGTCCAGTGCGGTGCAGTGCGATGCAGTGCGGTGCAGTGCGGTCCAGTGCGGTACAGTGCGGTGCAGTGCGGTCCAGTGAGGTGCAATGCGGTGCAAGGCGGGGAAGGGAAGTGCAGGAGGGTGCAAAGCGGTGCGGGGAAAGGGGGACAGTACCAGGAAGTATGTAGGGCCGGGGCAGGCACGACGGGACCGGGCAGGCGCGACGGGGCCGGGCAGGCGCGACGGGGCCGGGCAGGCACGACGGGGCCGGGCAGGCGCGACGGGGCCGGGCAGGCACGACGGGGCCGGGCAGGCGCGACGGGGCCGGGCAGGCGCGACGGGGCCGGGCGGCTACGACGGGGCCGGGCGGCAGCGACGAGGCCGGGCGGCTGCGACGGGGCCGGGCGGCTGCGACGGGGCCGGGCGGCTGCGACGGGGCCGAGCGGCTGCGACGGGGCCGGGCGGCAGCGACGAGGCCGGGCGGCTGCGACGGGGCCGGGCAGGACACAGCAGGGCCGGGCGAGGGCGACGGGGCCGGGCGGGCGTGACGGGGCCGGTCGGGTGCGACAGGGGCCGGGCGGCTGCGACAGGGGCCGGGCGGGCGCCACGGGGCCGAGCGGCTGCGACGGGGCCGAGCTGGGGCGACGGGGCCGAGCAGGTGCGACGGGGCCCAGGAGGGGCGCGACGGGGCCCAGGGGCGCTACGGGGCCCAGGGAGGAGCGCAGCAGGGCCCAGGAGGGGCGCTAAGGGGCCCAGGGAGGGGCGCGACGGGGGCCTGGGAGGGGCGCTACCAAGCCCAGGAGGGGCGCGACAAAGCCCAGAAGGGGCGCTACGAAGCCCTGGAAGGGGCGCGACGGGGCCTGGAGGGGCGCTACGAGGCCCTGGAAGGGGCGCGACGGGGCCTGGGAGGAGCGCGACGGGGCCTGGAAGGAGCGCGACGGGGCCTGAGAGGAGCGCGACGAGGCCCTGGAAGGGGCGCGACGGGGCTAGGGGGGGGGGTCGCGACTGGGCTCAGGAGGGGCGAGGCTAGGCTAGGAGACGCGACGGGAGGAGCGGAAGCGGTAGGTGGGGGGGGGGGGTCGAAACCTACGCGTGATACCATCTCAAACCTAGAAATTGAATTGAATGTAGAGTTAGAGAGTACATGCACATATACCTAAATGTTGTACCCTCTAGGAGGTTACCCTATACAGTCTATACAAACATGATCAATAAACATGTTTGACACTTATGTAGCCTTGGGGGTGTGTCAACTTATACGTACATTTATATGTAAAAGTTATAGGCTAGAATAGGTGTATGTTCTTAGAGAGTACAACCCAACCCTATATCTTACTTGTTCTCTCTCTTGTTTTCATTCATTCTTGTACTCTAACACATGGCACATATCCGCTTCTTAACAAGCCCTTTTAATTCAGTGATTAGTGACTGAATTCTGACAAAGGGAACCACTCTTTTAGAGCGTATTCCTGGGGAGAGGTGTTCAGTTCCAGGAAAGCCAAATGTGCATCTGACACTGTGCTTGCTGTAATTGCCGATTTACAGGAAGCTGTTCAATTCCAGGACAGGTGGCTTCGCAAGCGTGTGCTCGGCGACACTTGTGTTGTCCCTTTTGTGTTGTCCCTCAACAAACGACCACACTTGTGTTGTCCCTCTCCACATGGATGGTGGTGATGCCATCAATGGCAGCTCGTCTGCCACCCTCCAACCTCCAAAATGAACGCTTTCATTCGCTCCTGACTGACGATACGGCCTGTCGTTTCGACGAAACGGAGTGGCACGCGACATGCATGCGACGTGCCAGGTGTTGTTCGCAAATGTGATTGTGTCGACCAACCAATCACAACGCACGTGTGCGAACAAGCTGGCTTGCGGTCCTGGTACTGGACTCGTTAAGAATCGTCGATCATGATGTTCAGGAATCCGTTTTCCGGTGCTGGTACTGAACACCACTCAGTAGGAATACGCTCGTAGGCAAGTGTTTCTTCTCCCTTTTTGCTTGCATCAATGATCTCCTTTGTAGCATGAATCCACTTCACACCTCAAGTCCATAACCATAAACACTGTAAAGGATTTGCATTGAACACAAATACAAACATGAGAGAAATAAAAAGCCCTACTATCTCTATTCCTATAAAAGCGTGACTCGGCATAGCAGGTCCTCAAAGATAACTCATCAACCCGTCAACTTTCATTGACCCCTAACCCCATCCATCGCATAATCACAACCTCCTTATAAACAAACAGAGTCCTGGTGAATCGACCCCATCCTGGCAGAGCAAACAGGGTCCTGGTGTTCACAAGGATGAATCAAGCATAGCGAGGCAAGAGCCATGGGGAACTGCTGCTGCTTAAGACAACCAAAAAAGAAACTGCTCCTGCCGCACCACCACCACCCTCCCCCTATCTCCCTCTCCCCCAATCCCGCAGTAAAAAGCTGCACCCCTAAGCATAGCGAGGGCGGGAACCGTGAGAGACGGCTGCTGCTTGTGAGAGCCGAAGCGATGGCATGAGCATCCCCTCCTGCCGCACAATCACCCTCCCCTTCTCCACGCCCACCACCACCTCCTCCTCCCTCTCCCTCTCGCTCTCAACCCCTCCTTGCTCTCCCCTTGCTTGCCGAACGGCGTTGGCAATGTGGCGGTCCAACAGCTGGGTGATCTCGTCTCCCTGGCAGGAAGGGAAGGTGCAACGAGGTGGGTGGTGGGGTAGCGGGATCACGTCAGAGAGGGGGGAAGAGGAAACGGACAGAAACAGAACGGACAGAAACAGAACGGATAGAAACAGAACGGATACAACAGATAGAAAGTAGAAGTGACCAGGCTTGTCGGCTTATCACTCACTCCCTCACTCAACTCTCAACACCGATATTACATTATCTCATCCCCACTTCCCCCCCCCACCCACTCACCCCTTTTGTGGCAAACTCGAGCGAGTAGAGCTGGTTGAGCATGAGAAGGCAGAAGCTGGCAACACATTACCACACCCTCCCCACACCCACTCACTAATGTCACTAGCCCCTGCATTCAGACCCACACACTCACCCCCTTGGTAGCGAACTCGAGCGAGCAGAGCTGGTTGCGCATGAGAAGGCAGAAGTAGACGCGCCCGGGCTTGCCGGCATACTCGGCAATGTCCTTCAGCTCGGCCTCATGCACCAGGGAGTGGTCCTCGGTGTTGAGGAAGTGGAGCTAGAGGGGGGTAGAAAGGGGAGTTGGGAGAACACCATGAGAGAACATACTCTGCAATGTCCTTCAGCTCCGCCTCATGCACCAGAGAGGTGTTGAGGAAGTGCAGCTGAGAGGGAAGGTGAGAAAGGGGGGAGGGCGGGGAAGCGGGGAGTACAATTTGAGACAGGGGGCTTGCTGGCTTGCCGGCATACTCCGCAATGTCCGGGGAGCTCGGACTCGTGCACCAGAGAGTGGTCCTCAGTGTTGAGGAAGTGCAGCTGTTTGCAGAGGATAGAAGGTGGGGATGGGGTTGGGAGAGTGCAAGGTGTGATGGGGCTTGCTGGCTTGCCGGCATACTCTGCAACGTCCTGGAGCTCGGCCTCGTGCACCAGAGAGTGGTCCTCAGTGTTCAAGAAGTGCAGCAGGGTGGGTTAGACAGGGGGAGGAAGGGGAATGGGGGCAGAGTGAGGGCGCAGGTGGGAGAGCAGGTGCAGTGAGGCTTGCTGACTTGCTGGCACACCGTGCAATGTCCTTGAGCTCGGCCCCGTGAACCAAGGAATGATCCTCCATGCTCAAAAAGTGCAGCTGAGGGGAGGGGAGGGGGAGGTGGGGGGGGGGGGGGGGGGGGGGGGGAGGAAGCAGAGGAGGCAGGCAACAGCAGGCTCTGTGACGTGAGACAGGGGGCTTGCCAGTACTCTTCCATTTTCCTCAGGGGACCATTTCCTTGAGCTCTTGAGTCTACTCAAAAGTCATCTCGTTACAATGTCACACAGAACTTTCGCTACAAGAACCATTCTCGCTTGGAGACAGGCGGCTTGCCAGCAGGGGGCTTTCCATTTTCCTACAGGGGACCATTTCCTTGAGTTCGGCGTTGTGCGCCATTCCATGTTCAAGAAGTGCAGTTGGTTGGGGATGGGGAGGGAGCAAGGAAGGAAGGAGCAAATTCAGGGCTCACTGAGCTCCATAGTTGCATACACCCACACGCACACGCACACACACGCACACACACCCCCACACGCACACACACACTGCCTCTCACTCACTCCATTGTGGTTGACCCCCACTTCCACCCTCTTGGGGAAGTTAGGAGCAAAGTCGGGGTGGGCGCGGAGGGGGAAGAAGATGGAGCCGCCATGTGGGCTGTCGAGGATGATGCGCGTGAACTCCCTCATCGTGCCCTCGTGGTCCAGCGACCACTGCAGTGGACAGGGTTGGGGGAGAATGGAATGGGTGGGAGAGGGAAGAATGGCAACTCGTGAGCCACCGTGGGGGCTGTCGAGGATGATGTGGGTGAACTCCCTCATCGTGCCCTCGTGGTCCAGCGACCACTGCAGGGAATGGGTGGGAAAAGGTGAGAAGAGGTGAGAAGGGGTTTATGAGGAAGGAATGGCAACACCATGGTGAGAGGGAAGATGGAGCCGCCATGCGGGCTGTCCAGGATGATGCGAGTAAACTCACGCATCATAAGGAAGAAAACGAGCCCCAGTGGAATCAGTAAGAATGGGTGGCAAGAAGCTGGGGAGCGTGTGGGTGCGGATGGATGTGTGTGGGTGTGAGTGGGTTGTTCCTGCAATGTCGCAAAATTCACCTACAACATGAGGGTTGGTTTGCGTGAGTGGGTGTGTGTGCACGTGCACGTGCACGTGCACATGAGTAAATATGACACATACCAGGGTCTTGTACTGGGCGGCAATCTGCTTGGCCCACTCGTCCTCACTCATGGCGCCAGCCACAATGGCGGGCACTGACTTGGTCATCAGGACGAGCCACTCGCTGCCGAGGAAAGGGGGACGGACGGGGGAAAGGGGGACGGACGGGGGAAAGGGGGACGGACGGGGGAAAGGGGGACGGACGGGGGAAAGGGGGACGGATGGGGGAAAGGGGGACGGACGGGGGAAAGGGGGACGGACGGGGGAAAGGGGGACGGACGGGGGAAAGGGGGACGGACGGGGGAAAGGGGGACGGACGGGGGAAAGGGGGACGGACGGGGGAAAGGGGGACGGACGGGGGAAAGGGGGACGGACGGGGGAAAGGGGGACGGACGGGGGAAAGGGGGACGGACGGGGGAAAGGGGGACGGACGGGGGAAAGGGGACGGACGGGGGAAAGGGGGACGGACGGGGGAAAGGGGGACGGACGGGGGAAAGGGGACGGACGGGGGAAAGGAGGACGGACGGGGGAAAGGAGGACGGACGGGGGAAAGGGGGACGGACGGGGGAAAGGACGGACGGGGGAAAGGGGACGGACGGGGGAAAGGGGGACGGACGGGGGAAAGGGGGACGGACGGGGGAAAGGGGGACGGACGGGGGGGACGGACGGGGGAAAGGGGGACGGACGGGGGAAAGGGGGACGGACGGGGGAAAGGGGACGGACGGGGGGGACGGACGGGGGAAAGGGGGGTGGGGGATGGGTGGGTGGGTGGGTGGGTGGGTGGGAGGGTGCACGTAGCAATAGCAGCAGTCACAATACCAGGTACTGACTTGCTCCCCAGCGCAAGCCACTCCCTGCCAAGGATATGGTGGGCTTGGTGGGGTACGTAGTTTTGTGCTTACAACACGCCCTCCGCTGTAACGAGGTAGCGGCTCTCCATGTAGTCACGCCGCAGCTGCACGTGTCGTAGCACAGGGTGCCTCTATCAAGGCAGCTGGCAGCTGCACGTGGCACAGGACACCTCTACGAAGCGAAACCTTACGCGCACGGACCTTCACAACTGAAACGTTCAGGTGAAGCAGCAGCACTCACGGAGCGTCAAGGGGGTCGGGGATGACGCCAATCTCTGCTGCGATCTGCAGCGCGGCCAGCACGACCACGCCCTTCGCGGTGACAAGGTAGCGGCTCTCCATGTAGCCACAGCGCACCTAGCAACGAGCACAGGCGCACCAACTGCCCGGCGCACCTAGCAATTAGCAAGCAGCACTCACGGAGCGTCAAGGGGGTCGGGGATGACGCCAATCTCTGCTGCGATCTGCAGCGCGGCCAGCACGACCGCGCCCTCCGCTGTAACGAGGTAGCGGCTCTGCATGTAGTCACGGCGCAGCTGCACGTAGCACAGGCGCACGAACTGGCGCTCCGCCACGTCAGCATCGGCGCGCTCGAACCAGCGCTTGCGCAGCAGCAGCTTGCAGACCACCTGCTGGCCGCGCGACTGCCCCACTTGCGCTGCTGTGCCGTAGTCTACCAGCAAGTCAGAGACATAGGCACTGCGCGGCAGCAGCACGTGCTCTGGAGGGGAGGGGAGGGAGGGGGGCAGTGGGTGAACAACTCAATGCGCGGGCAGGAGCAGCTTGCAGACCAACCAGCAAAGCAAGTTCGGAGACATAGGCACTACGGGCTAATAGCACGTGTTCTGGAGGGGAGGGGAGGGGAGGGAAGTGGTGAGCGGGTTTGGGGGGAACAGGGGGAGTTTTGAGTCGACTCAAAAGCGGGTTTGGGGGGAACGGGGGGAGTTTTGAGTCGACTCAAAAGCGGGTTTGGGGGGAACAGGGGGAGTTTTGAGTCGACTCAAAAGCGGGTTTGGGGGGAACGGGGGGAGTTGGGAGACGAAGCAGCAGCGGCTTGCACACCACCTGCTGGCCGCACGACTGCCCCACTTGCGCTGCTGTGCCATAGTCTACTAGGAGATCCGACACGTAGGCGCTGCGGGGTAACAGCACGTGCTCAGGAATGGGGAGGGAAAGGGGGAAAGGGGAAAAGGGGAAAAGGGGGAAAGGGGGACGGGAGGGGCGGGGGTTTGCCCTCTAACCACCGCTTTCGCAGCAGCCACTTGCAAATCACCTGCTGGCGTCGGGACACTTTCCCCACGTGGACCAATAATTGGTTCCCAAGCAAGAGACGGACGAGGGACGGGCAAGGGACGGATTAAGACCGAACAACGCTTGTAACGAATCCCACACCGTGTTACACTCACCCACGACGGCGGGCGGAATGGCGGCGCCCTTCTTTCCGCCAGGGGCGGGAGAGGCGGAACCCGCGGAGCCAACGAGCGGGCGCGTGGCGCGGCTGGTGTACATGGCGAAGGGGGAAGAGGCGGAAACCTGGAGCTTGCGACAGAGGATCTGGGGAAGCGGGGGGAGGGGGGGGAGGGGGGGGGAGACGATGGGGGAAATTATTAGGGGAATAGGGGGGCAAAATCTGCACTACTGGGTTGAAGGTTTAGTCTATTGGGTTTGCGGACAGGGTTTTAGCGCGGCTGTAGGGTTTTTCACCTTAACCGCTTCAACAGTTGTGGTCGGCCCATAGTGAATGTTCTCCGGCGCGTCATGGCACAGAAACACTTTTGAGGCGCCTCAAAAGTGTTCTCCGGCGCGTCATGGCACAGAAACACGGGGTCGGGGTTCAGGGCTTCAGGATAGGGGGGCTCCGTGTGTAATGAGTCGATTTTTGAGTCGACTCAAAAAGCGCGTCATGGCACAGAAACACGGGGTTAGGGTTCAGGGCTTCGGGTCGGGATAGGGGGGCTCGATCCAGATTCGGATAGGTTTAGAATTCTCACCTTGACCGCTTCCTCCACTGTCGTAGTGGGCCCATAGTGAATGTTCTCCGGCGCGTCGTTGCACAGAAACACCGGCACCACCATAGGCGACCCCGTTATAAGCGCGCGGACCTCCTCCTCCCCCGGTATAGTCTTGCGCGCCCCGTGCTCCAGCCCGTGCTCGAGCGCCTTCCACGTCAGCCGCATCGCGGCCAGGATTCCCGGGTCGCACTTGGGGTCGGCGGCGAGCGCGGTGAAATAGTCGACTAGGGGCGTCGCGACCGTGGTGGTTGGCGGAAAGATGTACGCGCAGTGGCGCATGAGCTCCCACGCCTTGAGGCAGGAATCGCTGGAGTGGAAAATGGGGAGGCGGGAGGGAAAGGGTTGCTGGGGCATGTGAGTGGGGAAGCGGGAAGGTGAACGCGCAGGGTCGCGCTTGGGGCCGGCTGCGGGCGTCGCGACTACGGGCGTCGCGACCCCGGTGGTTGGCGGGAAGATGAACGCGCAGGGGCGCATCAGCTCCCGTGACCCGTCCCCGCCTTCAGACAGGAATCGCTGGATGCGTAGGGGGAGACACGGGGCGGGTCGTGGCAGGGCGTGGCGGGGCGAACGGGGGAAGGCGTTGGGGACATGCAAGTGGGGGAGCGGGAAGATGTACGCGCACTGGCGCGTCAGCTCCCACGCCTTGCGCGAGCGGGGTGGGGAGAGGGAGGGAGGGAAGGGTTGCTTGGGGACATGCAAGTGGGGGAGCGGGAAGATGAACGCGCACTGGCGCATCAGCTCCCACGCCTTGAGGCAGGAATCGCTGGGAGAAGGGGGAGAGCAGCAGGGGGGGGAGGCAAGCACGAGAGATCAGTATGCAGCAGGTGTTAGGCTTAGGGCGATAGCCTCTGGCTATTCCCTAGGGCCCCAAGAACGCAGCGGGAAAACCATACTGGATCTGAGAAGTGCAGGAGAGCAGGGTGCTCTTCAGCTTAGAGTTCAAACAGAAAGTTGCACTCCAAAAAGCGGTTACAAACGAAAACAGAGCAAGAACATATCAGCATGCAGAAATGTAAAGTGTGACTCGCGTAACGCGTCGCGCGCGTTTCGTCCGAGTCTTGGGCGGAACCGATTTCGATAACCGACACTGTCGGTGAAACCGACCCTCCGACATTCCGCCGAACACAACCGAAGTCTGGTGGACTTTTCTGGCTGAACCGAATGTTCTCGATGTTCTCTCATCCCTGGTTCTTCCTGTCCAAACGTTTTTCCTCCATCGGAGCACCACTTAGGCGCCATGGCTTTATTCCTCCATCGGAGCACCACTTAGGCGCCATGGCTTTACGTGGCAACGAGCTGACTTTTGAGTTGACTCAAAAGTCTTTCCGTCCAAACGTTTTTTTCCTCCATCGTGCACCACTCTCACAGCAGGTTGCTGGGGACATGCAACTGGGAGTAGGAGAAGGCAAATTTTTGGAGGATTTCATAAGACAGCCTCAAGCACTAACCTTCTGAATGAACCGCTGCCGGCAGATTCTTACCGGTAGTCGTTCGCGCACGTCTGCTTCTGCAGCTGCAGAAACACCTCGTCGCGAAGCAGCGGCTGTAAGTGCATCTTGATTGGTCGATCGCAGAGGAATACTGCTCACCGGTAGTTGATCGCACAGTAATACTGCTTACCGATAGTCATTCGCACGCGTCTGCTTTTGTAACTGCAGGAACAGCTCGTCGCGAAGCAGCGGCTCTTCGCCAATCGTGTGCAGCACGCGCGCAACCAGCGCAATCTCCCCCGCCAACGTCAGCCTCCCCGCGCCGGGGGCTCCGCCGATGAAGGTTGCGCCGGTGCCCTCCGCGCCCCCCGCGAGCCCCATGAAGCGCAGCACGTCCCCGAAGAGCCGCGCGGCGGGCTCCTGCAGCGCGCGGTGCAGGCGGAGCATGGGGTGGGGGAAGGGGTCCTGGGGGCGGGCGGGCGGGCGGGCGGGCGGGCGGGCGGGCGGGCGGGGGGGGCGGCGGAAACCGGGGGCAGTGGAGAAGACAGGGGGCGGGCGGGGGAAGACAGGGGGCAGGTGAAAAAGGGGGTTGAGATTTACTGGAACCTGCAACGCGCGGTGCAGGCGGAGGATGGGGTGAGGGGAAGGGCGAGGGGATTCAACGGGAAAAGGGGAGGGCGAATTTAGGTTCACGACAGCTGGGAGGGGTTTTCTCCTTTGTAGTGTTGTCGACTTTCTTATCGCGGACGGTGCGGCTCGGCGCGCATGAGTTTCGGCGAGAGTTTGGAGAGTACATTGTTGTTCTTATTATTAAAAAAATGTTTCTTTTTTCAAAAACGGACTTATCCACAAAATCGTGTAACATTTCATGAACGCACCGGCTGGAATGTAAGCATGTCGCGGACGGTGTACGGCTCGGCGTGCATGAGCTGCGGTGGCGACACGAGGCCCAGCATCTGGCGCTTGTTGGCGGCGGCGGCGCGCAGACGCGCCATGGAGTGAACGAAGACGTCCACCTGGCAGCACGCGAAGAGCGCCTCGACTGCCTCGAGATTGCCGCCGGGCATAAGCCTGGGTTTGAGGGGGCGGGTAGGTGGGGGAGGTGGGGTCAGGGCGGGGGGCGAGGTTGGGGAGGGTGAATAGACTGGAGCGCGCGATTTTCTTGAATCGACTCGCCAGACGCACAGCCGAGCCATGGAGTGAACTAAGTCGTCCACAAGGCAGCACTCGAACAGCGCCTCGACCGCCTCGAGATTACTGCCCGTCATGAGCCTGGGTTTGAAGGGGGGAAGGGAAGGGAAGGTGCGGAGGCGGAGGTGGAGGCGGCGGAGGGCGGGGATGGCGAGGATGGCGAGGATGGCGAGGATGGCGAGGATGGCGAGGATGGCGAGGATGGCGGGCGGGCGGGCGGGCGGGCGGGCGGGCGGGCGGGCAGGCGGGCAGGCGGGGGGAGAGGGGGTGAATGCGTTTTTTTGTTTAATCGACTCGCCAGACGCGCAGACGCGCCAAGAAAACGCCAACCTGGCAACATGGTTCCTCGGACTCCGAAAAGATGCCCGTGCGGCGTGCGGCGTGGCGTTCACTCAAGCCAGCCTTACGTTTTCCCGTTTCGTCCGCTCAAACGTTTTCCCGTTTCGTCAAAACATGCGACTCACATGACTTCGATAAAGGCGTCTTTGGCCGTCTTGGCCAGCAGCGGCGACGTGCTCATGGTTGCGGTGTTTGGGCTACTGAAGCAAACGGGACACCAAGGGCCGTCTGGTTGTGGGTTCTGGTCTGCACTGAGCGGAGCCGCTTCCTGAGATGCGGCGCGAGGTTCAAGACCACGGGAGAAACTAGAAGATATTTAAATTTCGAATATATAGATGTACTTAAATCGCCTACTGGCTTATGTTACGAAGAAGTATGGTGAAGATGAGGCCAATCTAGCACGGGATACTAAACGAGGACACGCAAGTCGATCTGGCCGTCTGTACACACGCGAAGACGTTCTAAGCTGGTGTGAGCACACAGTAGGATATGGTTGATGGTCGACGGTGCAGAAAGCGAGGGATTGCTCGGGGCTGATGGAGCATTTGAAGGAGAGTTATCACGAAAAACGAGCAATAAAAAACATCAGAAAATTGTACTGTGTGCGAGTAAGGAGTACATGGGCTCGGGTCGGGGGATGGGAATCGGAAATTCGGGTGGAACCGCTCTCTGCCAAGGGTTGTCTATCAAGGGTAGTGATGGTGAAGGGCGGGAGGCGGTAGACTGAAGGTACAGCGTGCAATAGCTCTACCCTGGGCGCGCTTTCTCGCCTCTAGTGCAAAAACCTACTAGACTCACCAAGTGAGAATGGTGCCCATGTGGTCAGGTGTGAGCATGTCGAGATTGGGGCTGGTATTTTGTGACATTGACGAGCAGAGGGGCGAATTGACGCGAAGCGCAGGGTGGAAGAATTGCCGATTCGGAGATTTACGAACAAGGCGCGGATGACCCAAACGAGGGCAATGGTTTGAAGAGGGGAGGCGACGCAACCTGTCACGGCTGGAGTGACCAGTGACTTCGCTATACGAACTGCTGAACCACCACCTGCGACGACGCCTTAGTGTATCCGAAAGTCCACTGTTTAGTTCTCCAATTAGCCCCTAAATGCATGATGTGCTTTAAATAATTATTAAATTTTCAGGTTTGATTATTTTTATGTGCATATTGATGGAATAAACGGCCATTCTTTCATTTACGGGCAGGCCCCAAGAATATGTTAAAGAAGCTAAGAAAGGATGGAAGCCATGGAAATGGCGTGAGGTTTTAGGCTAGGGGAAAAATTACAAGAGAGAAGAGAGTTTGGACTAGAAGAGATGGATACAAGAAAGGGGGTTGTACCCTCTACAGTAGGATCCAGTAACACCTACCAACCCTACAATTATATATAATATATATATATATATAATTTAACACACCCACTAGGCTTGGTAGCCGAAAGCACACCACACACATAGCACACTAAGCCGCACACCCCCTAAGCCTAGCACCCCCATACTCAGCAGCAGCGACGGCTACTCCAGCATGGTCAACCCCTCGGCGTGTGAGGCGGCAACGTTGACAGCGAGGCAGCGGCTGCAACGGTGGCAGCGTCGACAGCGGCGGCGGCGTGCGGCGGCTTGGCCAGCAGCACCAGCTACGGCGGTGGCGGCTTCGACGACAGCTGCGGCAGCGGCGGAGCTCGCAGCACTCGGCGGCTTGGCCGGGCTCCGCGACGGAAGGACGGCCGGCGCGAGTCAGCCGTCGGCTGCGACGAGGAAGAGGGGACGCAGGGGAAGGGGGCGGGGCTTCTTCAGCGGAGACCGGGAGCGTGCCGCCCCGTGTGGCGTGCTGGCTGCATGCGGGCGGGCTGGCTGCATGCGGGCGGGCTGGCCAGCGCTAAGACCGGGTGCTGGCCGCTGCCGTCCGTGTCGTCCGCGCGCTGGCGTGTAGACGCCGCCACGGCAGCACGACGGCGCCGTCATCGCAGCACGACATGGACGTGGCGGCGGCGCGGAAAGGACAGGAGGGAGGAGCGGACTTTGCGGAAGCGTGATGAGCAGGCCTAGCAGATGGACCTGCTCTGAAACCATGTTATTGGTAGAATGCATTGATTGCCTTGATTTTTAGACATTTTTTGCATTACCATCAGGCCCCCAGAAGTCAGGAAAATTTTCCTGATTTAGGAAAAAGAACAGGGAGTTTCTCGGTACTTACCCTGATTGTGCATGGTTTTGTAAATGACACACCCTGTTTTTTCACGCTTTTTGTAAGGGTAAACTCTGATCGCTCAGCAAGGTTTCTTAGCGAACCCTGAATTTCTCAGCATTGTAGCGGATCTTAGTGTTAAAGGAGCTCTAGGCTAGGATACTAGGCAGGATCAAGGCCGCCATGAATGTGGCGGCGGGATTTAGCTAGGAGCTAGACGAGAGTGTCGAGAGAGAAAAGTGAGGATTAGGAAGAGAGAGGAGTACAAGGAGGGGTTTGTACCCCCTACAGAAAGGTTCAGTAACAACCTACCAAGCCTATATTAAATTATAACTTGTATAATTTGAACACACCCCCTAGGCTTGGTAGTGTCAAGCCCACTCACACCCCCACACCCACACCCCCTAGCCCAGCACCCCCATTCCCAGCAGGAGCCGCAACGACTCCGGAAGAGGGTAGGTCTCACGGCCCCTTGAGACGGCAATGGCGGCAGCAGCGACAGTGACGACAGCGGCGGCGGCGGCGGTGTGCGGCGGCTCAGGCCTGCGGCAACAGCGGCTTCGGCGGCGACTCGAACGCTAGAGGCTGGTGCGGCGGCCCCCGCCCTCTCGGCGGCATGTCCAGTCTCCTCGGCGGTGGAGAGGTCCCTCATAAGGCAGTCATCGGCTGCAGCAAGAAAGGGGGGAGAAGCAGGGGAAGGAGGGGGGAGGGGGGGGGGGGGGGGGGGGGGGGGGGGAGAGGGGCGCGGGGCGTAGTCCAGAATCACGCCGGCGGCTGCAGAGCGGGCGGCAGGTCCGGCGGCACCATTGACGATGCGCGGCCAGCTGTCGCCCGATGACGCCGCCACGGCGGCCAAACGACGGATGCGCGGCCAGCTGTCGCCCGATGACGCCGCCACGGCAGCCAAAAGACGCCGCCATAGCGCGACGTCGATGCCGCGGCGGCGAGGCGGAGGTGCGACTGTAGCTCGACTAAGCCGCCGCGGCATCTCAGAGAAGTCGCCACGGCGGCACAGAAAGGCAAGGCCGCCACGGCGGCAGGAAAACGAAAGGCCGCCATCAGCGGCACGGTACGAAGTGAAACGTAAGACAAGGACGAGGCGGAAGCGTGGAAGGCAGGACCGGAAACGGCCTGCTCTGTTACCATGTTAAAGGAGCTCTAGGCTAGGATACTAGGCAGGATCAAGGCCGCCATGAATGTGGCGGCGGGGTTTAGCTAGGAGCTGGACGAGAGTGTCGAGAGAGAAAAGTGTTGATTAGGAAGAGAGAGGAGTACAAGGAGGGGTTTGTACCCCCTACAGAAAGGTTCAGTAACAACCTACCAAGCCTATATTAAATTATAACTTGTATAATTTGAACACTTAGTCCTTTCCAAAAGCGTGTCTAGGGGGGGCAGTCAAGAATTTCGAGGTTCTCCCCCCCCTTTCCCCCACCCCCCGAGGCTGTGTGAGGGCGCTGATTGGCCCTTGGTAAAAAAAATCTCTGCGCTGTATGTTGGAGGTCATGTGAGGGAGGTCATCGGCCCTTAACCATGTTTTCGCCTCGATGTGTGCTGAGGACTGTGTGAGGGCAATTGCTGGCCCTTGGCCGAATTTGCTTGATGTGCGCCTGCCCTAGGGCTCTGTGAGGGAAGAGATTCCCTCCGCCCCTGCAATCTCGTCACCTCCCCCCGTATTCAGCCCGTCCCCCCACTCCCCCCCACCAATTGTCGTTTCCTGCCCAATCTTGCCCTACACGCACGAATTCGCTACGAATTCCCAGCACCCCCAACAACCAAGACTTGAACACACATAATTCATGAACTATAACATGTAAAGAAAGATTGAGAAATCTATCTTTTTTTTTTAAGTAATTCTGATGGCTTGGGATTTTTTTTTAGGGGACCCTGAATATTCAGACTTTTCTGCAAGGAGAATCCTGATGGATCAGGAAGCCTCAAAACCAATCTAAGGCCCTGATTACCATGATATTTCATACTTCCTCAAGTTCTTCTCTTGATGAAAAGAGTGTAGAGAATTCATTGCTGCGAAGGTGCTAGCCCTGGTTTTAGCCACCCGGTAGGTCCATCCGTAAGGTACTTCCTTACCAACGGTAAAGATAAAAAATCTATTGTAGTACTCTTGATTGTAACAATCTATTATTTATATACTTTCTGTATAGTGCGGCATTCCCCCTATCGACTATGCACCATAAATTGTTCCGAAATGCAGACGTCGTTGACTGCTGACCAAGCAACTCAACAGTTAATCGAAAGGCAAGAGTCAAGAATCAAGGATCAACACAACAGAAAACATGCAGACTATACCGACTTTTACAACATACGCATTTATCCAAGTCATGTATAGTTACCGAGTCGTAGAATAACTCTTGAGGGAATCTACCACTTTAGGGTACTTGGGTAGTGTTGGAAATGATGAAAAAGAAACTTCATCATCTCAGGAGTATCGCGAATTATACAATTCGCGAGGGCATCAACATCGATGAATGCCGAGTAAATCATGTTACAGCACCAACTGACAGTCGACGCAACGTGACGACACATGACGGGGGTTGCGGAAGGCAACGATCGCAGACCGTTGACCTTGCAATTGCAATCTAGCTGTCAAAAGATCAAGGGTCGAAGTCTGCACGACAGCAATTACACAAAACCTTCCCGGTACTACAGTACGGGTGGTTACCCAGTTGTGCTTATCGAGTCGCAAAAGGGAATGTACCCCTATGAAGTACACAAATAGTCAGACATTTCGTATTCTCTTGTAATACTTTATGAACCCTTGCATCTCCTAACTTTCTTCAATTGCGTGTTCAGACTTCCGTTGTGCTACAAAGCTCTCTACCTACTAAGGGCTGCCAAAGATCGTCTCTGCCAAAGATCCTAGGGCTGTTCTTAGCCCAATAGCTACCTATGACCTCTCACCTTCTAGTACACTACTATGTAGTCTCTTGTATCGTTCTATTTTGATCATCTTGTTATTTTGCATCCACCAACTAATCACAAGACTTATGTAAGGTATTCCCTATTTGTTCTTACAAGCGCCCCCTTTTTTTGCCAAAAGCTATTCCCTATAAGCGCTCTGCAATTTACAGTATGTAGAAAACACTCTGAAACGCATACAGTATGATTTGTATCGATGTTCTACAGGATTTGTTTCTATACTGGAAATGGACATGTAGAGGACTTGCGAGTTCAAATTTGTCTCAGACCTTCCTCTATCAGCCAACCAAGGCCCTTACAAGCTCGTAATACAGTTAGCGCTCACTGGCATCGGCTTTAATCAGTTTGAACTGAACGATTCCAGGCCCTGATCGGTAGGCCGTCATTCCAGAATACGGAATACGGAATCGGAATCCGCTGAAAGCTTTCTGTATTCCGTG